TTAGCCCTTCCCCCCTCCCACAACCCCTCCCGTAACCCTCAGTTTGTTCTCCATATTTATGAGTCTCTTCTGTTTTGTCCCCCTCCCTGTTTTTATATTATTTTTGCCCCCCTTCCCTTATGTTCATCTGTTTTGTCTCAAAGTCCTCGTATGAGTGAAGCCATATGATTTTTGTCTTTCTCTGACTGACTAATTTCACTTAGCATAATACCTTCCAGTTCCATCCACGTGGTTGCAAATGGCAAGATTTCATTCCTTTTGATGGCTGAGTAATACTCCATTGTATATAAATACTACATCTTCTTTATCCATTCATCCGTCGATGGACATTTGGGCTCTTTCCATACTTTGGCTATTGTTGATAGTGCTGCTATAATCATGGGGGTGCATGTGTCCCTTCGAAACAGCACCCCTGTATCCCTTGGATAAATGCCTAGTAGTATAATTGCTGGGTCCCAGGGTAGTTCTATTTTTACTTTTTTGAGGAAGCTCCATCCTGTTTTCCAGAGTGGCTGCACCAGATTGCATTCCCATTGCTTTCATTCTTTTTATTTCCATTTGCTCATCCCTTTCTTTGAGTTATCTGTCGTCTTGGTTGTCCTAGAGTTCTGTTTTAGTCTCATATTCTATTTGCTCACCCTCATTAGCATTTTTCTATGATTTCTCAGAGTTCTTACGCATATCCTGTCATTTTTATTCTTAAAATGTTAAACTGTTGATTAGGTAAAATAAAGGCTAAAAAATTAACAAAATTCTACACGCCAAAAACATGCCCCCAAACACATAAGATTCTTGTAAGTTTCTACTTACCTTATCTCCACTGGCATTAGAATTGATAAATTAACAAGAGTGGTTTTCATGTGATTGCTGGAGGCATTTGTTGATACTCTCAGCTTCACCTTGAGGAATTATGGATGGCTCTACACACACACACACACACGTATACACACACATCCCTGTGTAAACATAATGGCCAATACACCCGAAGATTCTGAGAAATATTTTTTTTCTAACTCATGATTAATTTTTGGCTGGTGCTTGCTCTGCTCTGAGGTGTAGCATTTACACATTGAATATGGGAAATCATCTCCTTCTAAGACCTTCCTGATTATGCTTCTTTCTCCACAGGAGAGTCCATTCACTGGAGCCAAAAGCCTACTCGGTCCCAGGATGCCAGACCTTGGTCTGAGCCTGAGGCTGTAGATGTGGAACTTACAGCATATATCTTATTAGCCCAGCTTAGCAAAGCCAGCCTGACTCAAAAGGAGATAGCCAAGGCCACTGCCATAGTGGCTTGGTTGGCCAAGCAACGCAACGCATATGGGGGCTTCTCTTCTACTCAGGTAAATAACCCACTCTCCAGCCTCAACTTATCAGGTAGCATTAGGTTCTCTGTGGAGAGAGGACAAAACAACAAACAAACAAAAACAAGACAAAAAAACTATTGCCCTTGACTTCTAGGTCAAGAGACGTATAATTCTATAGGGAGGGAGGAAAAACGTGTGAAAAATATATAGGGTTCATAACAACGGGTCATATGAACACATAAATAGTACTATATGTACTTAATTCTCTTCCTTTGTAGAGTATGAAACATAATGGAATAAAGAGAAGCATAAGATCAGTGTTTTATGTGTGAATAGGACATATATAATTATGGCTAAATTATACATTAACAGATTAGAAAGCCAATTATGGAGTCAGAAACATAAAAGCAAGATTTTACAGGTATACTTCCTTCTATTGCAGGTATTGGGAAGCTAGTAAGATATACAGTTTCTACTTTAAAAAGTTCACAAACTAGCTCTTTCCGCCATTTTTCGTGCCGCCATAACGGTGCACATGAATGTCCTGGCAGAGGCTCTCAAGAGCATTGACAATGCTGAAAAGAGAAGCAAACACCAGGTTCTTACTGGGTCGTGCTCCAAAGTCATCGTCTGATTTCTAACTGTGATACTGAAGCATGCTTGCATTGGCGAATTTGAAATCATCGATGCTCACAGAGCTGGGAAAATTATTGGAAACCTCACAGGGCGGAGGGGGGGAGGCTAAACAAGTGTGGAGTGATCAGCCCCAGGTTTGATGTACAGCTCAAAGGTCTAGAAAAGTGGCAGAAAAATCTGCTCCCCTCCTGCCAGTTGGTTTCATTGTACTGACAACCTCAGGTGGCATCATGGACCATGAGGAAGCAGGATGAAAACACACAGGAGGGAAAATCCCGGGAATTCTTTTCCTAGGGATAGAATATGTTCATGCAAATAAAATGCCCCACTGGACTCTTAAAAAAAAAAAAGTTCACAAACTAGAAGTAAAGTTAGGAAAAGCTCTATAACGACAGAGCAGGATTTGGTTATACCAGAAAGGAACAAAAGATACAAAATAATGCACTTAAAGAGGGAAAGAGAGCTTACAACAACTTGAAGGATAAGAAAAGTCTTCAGGGGAGTAACATTTGAGGTAGATCTAAAAGCACAGGCAGGGGCACCTGACAGGCTCAGTTGGTAGAGCATGTGACTCTTGGTCTTGGAGTCGTGAGTTCAAGCCCCATGTTGGGTGTCGAACCTACTTACAAACAAACAAATAAATAAAAGGATATGTAAGATTTGGGGGGACAACTATTACAAGGAAGGAGAAATGGCATGAGCAGAGACAACAGTTTGCAAAAGTATAGAATGACTGTCGGGAAAACTGGGTTAGCCAATGCATAACGGGACCTCAGTTTAGAAATTCGGACAGGTTTATACCATGGAGGCCCTTGTGTATCAGCCTCAAGATTTTGCCCATTCTGAGAAGCTATTAATTTTTTTAACTTTGTGTCAGAAAGATTAACCGGTTACTTGCTGTTACTTAGTGTAGGGGACGGGTCTGAGGAGAGAGACACTGGATTTGAAGAGATAGGACACTCTTTCATTTGTCTAGGTTAGGGGTAAGGAGAACTTGAATTTGGTGGCAGTTGGGAAAAAGATGCAAAATCGCATGATATATTCAAATAGTATCATAAAAATCATCTTAGATGATTATACAGAGAGTAGTCATTAATTCATTTGTGCTGCAAATGTTATTAAATACATACCATATCCAACTCACTGATCATACAAAATACTCAAAAAAACATATTTCTTGTCTTTGTAAAGATTGTATTCTGACTCGTTGAAATTAGGGCCAGTTTCGTTGAGGATATAACATGTAAATTAGACCTGGAAAAAGAATATATTTTAACTGATGAAGTGTCTGGTAAAGATGTTAAGAGCACTGAAACTGAATATGGTAATGCCTTAATAGGAATTTAAAAAAAATTATATGGCACTGGGGCACCTGGGTGGCTCAGTCACTTGGGTGTCTGACTCTTGATTTTGGCTCAGGTCATGACCCCAGGGTCGTGAGATTGAGCCCCGCATTGGACTCTGCACTGAACGTGGAGCCTGCTTGAGATTCTCTCTCTCTCTCTCTCTCTCTCTCTCTCCTCCTCCTCCTCCCCTGATTGCACTCTCTCTTTCTAAATAAATAAATAAATAAATAAATAATATGGTACTATCCTTCCTTCCTTCAAGGAAATTCTTGGCCAAAGATCAGGAAGGACTTCTTTCTTGCTGAGCCCTAAACAATTATGATATACAATTTCAGAAAGCTGTGAGTGAAATGTTTAGAACTCTCAGTGACAGATACATGTCAGAATTGTTTTTTAATAAAATCCTTAGCTATTACAAGAAGGCACATGTCACCCACAGTGGTTTTTCAGCCAGTGATGAGGTCTCGTTTCTTGAATTGTTTCCACATATCAGAGCAATAAGGACCTTTTGGGATCAAGTTCACGGAGAGTAGATAAAAAGTTGTGTGTAGATAGTCAAGCTGCATAGGAATCACTTGTTCGCAGCTTCCCCAGAGTGGGTGACTTGCCTTCCTGTTTTTTGAAAAAAAAATTTTTTTAATATTTATTTTTTTTTAAGAGACAGAGTGCAAGTGGGGAAGGGGCAGGGAGCGAGAGGGAGACACAGAATCTGAAGCAGGCTCCAGGCTCTGAGCTGTCAGCACAGAGCCCGACGCGGGGCTCGAACCCACCAGCCGTGAGATCATGACCTGAGCCGAAGTCGGACGCTTAACCGACTGAGCCACCCGGGCTTTTATACGACAGTAAGATGTCTAAATACAGCTGTTCTTTTTCATTTGGGATAGGAAGATGTGGGGTTCCCTTATTCTGTAGATACTGTACAAAGTGTCGAGCATGTAGATATTCTCATAGCAGTAAAACATAGCAATTTGCTGGACATCTCGTTCTGTTTTTTCTTTCCTCTAGTTGTCACTTACATAAATCATATTTTCAGAATGGAAAAGTTCTGATGCCTTGTCTTCTTGGTGGCAGCTTATCTGTCTTCTATCCAAGTGAAGAAAAGATGGTCACATGGCACAGCGGCGAAGAAGCCTTAGTTCGCAAGGAAGGGTACCCTGATATCCTCTCCAGCTGTGCCATAGAAGATCATCACAGAGCTAAATGACTTTGAAGAATGTGCAATTTTTAGGGCTATTATGTTACTGCTATTTCCTCTCCAAATAAGGAAACTGTAAAATATATACTGAACAGTTACCCACTTGCTTCTAACTATAGCCCATTCTAAAACTAGGTTTGGTTGAAGACGAATATGAGATGAACCCGATAACCTATAGCTGTGTCATAACAACTTGATGACAATTTTCTAGACAGGCAAGATATGATTTCTATGTTGGTTTCCCCGGCATTGATGAACGTGGCTCTTACATACTTAGAAGAGGCGTCATCAGCGGGGCGCCTGGGTGGCTCAGTCGGTTAGGCGGCCGACTTCGGCTCAGGTCATGATCTCGCGGTCCGTGAGTTTGAGCCCCGCGTTGGGCTCTGTGCGGACAGCTCAGAGCCTGGAGCCTGTTTCGGATTCTGTGTCTCCCTCTCTCTGACCCTCTCCCGTTCATGCTCTGTCTCTCTCTGTCTCAAAAATAAATAAACGTTAAAAAAAAATTTTAGAAAAAAAAAAGAAGAGGCGTCATCCACACTAGTGAACCGCCAGACACGTAGGTTATCGGGTTATTTGCAGTTAATTCCAGTGGCTCACAAAATGTAAGCATATGCTCCACCGTTTTCTTCAGGATACTGTAGTTGCCCTCCAAGCTCTCGCCAAATACGCCACCACTGCCTATGTGCCATCTGAGGAAGTCAACCTGGCTGTGAAATCCAGTGGGAATTTCCAGCGTGCTTTCAACATTCAGGCTGCCAACCGGTTGGTATTTCAGCAGGAGACTCTACCTAATATCCCTGGAGCGTATACCTTGGAGGCCTCGGGCCAGGGCTGTGTCTACATGCAGGTAAGCAGAGATCCATGAGAAAGAACCAGCACGCATTGGGAAGGAGAGCCTGCGGGCGTCTTTGCCTCCAGTCGAACCTTCTGTCTCATTTGTGAAGAGAGTAGTTTGAGCTGTGCAATAGTTAAAGTTCTTCCCAGCTCTGATTTGGTTATCTATTTCCTCCTGCTAGACGGTGCTGAAATACAACATCCCCCCTCCTAAATTTGCGGATACCTTTAGTCTTAGTGTAGAAGTGGGAAAGGATACATGTGAGCAAGTTACTTCACCTCGATCCTTGGTGCTTACTATCCACACCAGGTGAGAAAAGCTGAGCTGGTGGCGGGGGGGGCACCCGGATCATAGAAGCTGAGGGGTGTGTGTGTGTGTGTGTGTGCGCGCGTGCGCACGTTGGGGCTACAGAGTCTGCTAAGAGTGAAAATAACGGGTTGACACAGATGTACCTCTTTCTGCCTTTAGTTATGTGGGGAGTCGCAGCTCTTCCAATATGGCCATTGTAGAAGTGAAGATGCTTTCTGGGTTCAGTCCCATGGAGGGCACCAATCAGTTAGTAAGTCTGTTCTTTCTTCTTCATTTAACAAGCTCTAAAAGGACATAACATGATCCCTCAAAAGCTGGTGAAATGGGCTTCATGGTATATCTATCTATCTATCTATCTATCTATCATCTATCTATCTATGCATGTATATATACAACTCATAATTACATTATTTCAATGGGCTGCAAAAGTGCATCAGATGTGTTAAATGGAAACTGGAATCATCTTGGTTCCTTTGTCTTACCTTTTCCACAGTATATATTGTTTCCTTGATCATGACAGAGCTTTGGTATAGTACCCTAGGGGATAGGGAAGGCTCTGGATCTTAGTCTGTTTTATTTTCCCCCTTTCTCATTTAGCTTCTCCAACAACCACTGGTGAAGAAGGTTGAATCTGGAACTGACGTACTGAACATTTACTTGGAAGAGGTAGGTGTTCAGAAACTGAACCCAAGAGCTTGATTCCTTATGTAGCTTTGCAACTTCCCTTTTAATCTGCATATACTGGTGTCACATGCACAGGGATGAGGGAACTGAGAGAATGGGTCTGAAGCCATGAGGTGAATTCTACCTCCATGTTGTTTACTATAAAATATTCTTATTCACCTCCAGGGCAGTACTAACAGATACATCATGCTAGCCATCTATGTCATTTATTTTTTTTAAGTTTATTTATTTATTTTGAGAGGGGGTAGGGGCAAAGAGAGAGGGAGAGAGAACCCCAAGCAGGCTCCGCCCTGTCGGCGTAGAGCCTGATGTGGGGCTCGATCCCAAGAACCATGAGATCGTGACCTGAGCCGAAATCAAGAGTCGGACACTTAACCAACTAATCCACCCAGGCTCCCCGCTATCTATGTCATTTAAAAATGTGTCGGCCAGGATGTGACTATTTTAAAATAAGGTGGTCAGGAAAGGCCTCTCTGAGGAGATGTTACCTGATCAGAGACCTGAAGGAAGAGAGAAAACCACTAGGAAGCAAAGAGCCTTTAAAAAAAAGAAAGAGGGGCGCCTGGGTGGCTCAGTCGTTTAAGCATCCGACTTCAACTCAGGTCACGATCTCGTGGTCCATGAGTTCGAGCCCCGCGTCGGGCTCTGGGCTGATGGCTCAGAGCCTGGAGCCTGCTTCCGATTCTGTGTCTCCCTCTCTCTCTGCCCCTCCCCCGTTCATGCTCTGTCTCTCTCTGTCTCAAAAATAAATAAAAACTTAAAAAAAAATTAAAAAAAAAAAAAAGAAAGATTCTGTTCCTTTGGCCACTTCAATTAATTTAGTGGAGGAACCATGGGTTAGAGTAGACCAAGAATGGAGGGGACTTTGTCACAAGGAGGCCAGGAAGCCGTAAGATCCTAAGAAGAAAGAGTCAGGAAGTCGGCAGAAGCCAACATCTTGAAGACTGGCCTAGGGCAAGAAGAGACAGGTAGAAGGGTTTCAGGAGATTTGGGTGAAGACAAGAGTCTTTTAATCTCCGCATTACAGAGAGTGTTATTTTCTCTTTAGTTTTGATACGCTGTTTTGTCTTTCTTCTCCACAGCTGAATAAGAAGACTCAGGCCTTTACCTTCACCATCAGCCAACGTACGTTGGTCACTAACCTGAAACCAGCAACCATCACGGTCTATGACTACTACCTCCCAGGTGAGGGCTGAGCTCTATTGTATCTCCCAACGTAGTTCTACCTCGCTCTTCATGCTATCTCCCCTAATTTTACAGATACTCTTTCCCAAGCAAGTAGCATATAATTACATTATTTGACCTCCCAAAACATTGCATTTTAACTGTATGTCATTTTTAAAAGTCTTCTGCACTAGCGATGTTTTACGACGGTCCACAGACCAAAAGGACAAGAGGGACCCTTGTTCTTTAAGGCCTGACTATTCTTAATGTTTTTGCTGCGATTAAGAATTTACCACAACAGTAGTGTTTGGAACTTTCCCGTAATTCGGAATATGCTCATAATATGCTCATCGCGTCTAGGGGTCCTCTGAACAGGGTTAAAGCAGTAGGTTTTATGAAGTACTTTCTCTTTGAATGCATGAGGGCCCTTATGTAATAATATATGTCTTTTCATCTTACAGGTGAACAGGCAACAATTCAGTACTCTGATCCTTGTGAATGAGGTAAGGATGAACTTTTGCGGTAGGGTGATAGTATTCAAAAGTTAAGGGACTTTCTTCTGAGTTATGTTATTACCTTCGGGGAGCTAGTTTTGGCTCCAGGCTCTGGGCTGATGGCTCAGAGCCTGGAGCCTGTTTCCGATTCTGTGTCTCCCTCTCTCTCTGCCCCTCCCCCGTTCGTGCTCTGTCTCTCTCTGTCCCAAAAATAAATAAACGTTGAAAAAAAAATTAAAAAAAAAAAAAAAGAAATTGATGAATTTTTAAAATTATTTTTACAGTCTACATCTTTGTTATATAAAAATACTATGGGAAAAGTAAAGATTATCTGATCCTGCTCCTCTGAGATAACACTATTAATAATCTCATTGCGCGTTCAGGAGATTTTCTTGTAGGTAGGAAAAAGCTGAGGGAGCACCTGGATGGCTCGCTCGGTAGAGCATGTTGACTCTTGATCTCCGGGTTGGGAGTTTAAACTCACCTTGGGTGTAGAGATAACTTTATTTTTTTATTTATTTATTTTTTTAAAAAGTTTATTTTTGAGACAGAGCATGAGTGGGGGAGGGGCAGAGAGAGAGGGGGACACAGAATCTGAAGCAGGCTCCAGGCTCTGAGCCGTCAGCCCAGAGCCCGACGCGGGGCTCGAACTCACAAACGGTGAGATCATGACCTAAGCCGAAGTCGGACACTTAACCGGCTGAGCCACCCAGGTGCCCCTAGGGAAAACTTAAAAAAGAAAAACAATTAAACAAATAAAAAGATAGGAAAAACTCTTTTACATTCTGAGTGTAATGATGTCTTCTTTCCCCCCCGCCCCCCCCCTCCTCTCCCAGGATAGAAGTTGGAAGGAGACTAATTTAATCCCCTGTGACATTACTGGACAACTTTCTTCTGCGTCTTAAAGCAAAACTCATTCAATCAACTAATTTGATTTCTCTGATTGACTAGTGAGTGTGTAACAGAAGAGCAGGCGTGAACCGCAGCTACTTTCTTCCACTTCACAGATGCATAGGTGCCGGAATAAAGGGTTGGGGCGGGGGGATGGGCTCGGAATAATCACCCCAGGGAAGAATTACCTGGAAAAGACCCCTGGGGGAGGAGATGTGATTTAGCCACAGGGGGGACTCTCCAGAGAAGATTTGGAAGTAGAGGGGGATCCAGGGAAGATAAAAATGTCTTTCCGGAGGTTAAATCTAAGGGGAGATGTAATTTAGCGCTTTGGGAGTAGATGAAAAAAAGTTTTTTCCTTGAAAAGAAAACCCGTGTCCTTGACTCTGTGCGTCTTGCTGTGGCTCCCAAAGGTTTTGTTGAAAGATAATAATCATCCTTTAACCAGAACTCGTATTTTGGCTTCCTCTTTAAACCTTTTGACCCAGACACGTCAGAGAATCGTCTTGCCGATTCTGGGAGGGGTCAGAGAGTCCCAATTAAGGGATTGTGTTCAGCCAGCTGTCACTGCAGGGCAAAAGAGTGATTGATAACAAGAGAAGTGGCTGGCCAGGATTCCCTATCTCTGCGCTTCTCCTTCAGGATTCCCCCAGCCTCTTCCGCTAGGGGATACCTATCTTTGTGTAAGCTGTTTCTGGAAGCAATGTTTTTGTTTTAGAAACGGGTCTGGAGGCAAAGGTATGGGGGGGAAAGAGATGAATAGTATTTAAACAGAGAAGATCATCTAGGCAACCACACCTTTTCACCCTGGATATTCACTGTCTGATCTCGCTCCTCTGGACTGTAAATTTTGACCAGAAGAGCCAGGGGAAAGTAAGTCCATGATGTAGAGATATTTCCATAAGCCCAGGGCCATATTTGCAAAAATTGTTCATTTCCTGTCTCCCCCACCCTAGACTCTGCCCTGGACCTCCTAGGAGTTCCCAAAGTGAGAGAACATGGGGAACATACCCAAAGGAGGTCATCCCCAAATCTGCTTTACCTCTCAGGTATCATGGAAATTAAAGAAAAGAGGGCACTCATGAACGCTCCCCCCACTCCTGAACCCTCTACCCTGTTACATTTGGCTCTGTGACTCCTCCCAGAACCTACCCCTTTTTGCAATGGAGGGAGATAGTGATCCTCAGGACTTAAGAAGTTATATCTGGGGGCGCCTGAGTGGCTCAGTCGGTTAAGTGTCCGACTTTGGCTCAGGTCATAATCTCACGGTTCGTGAGTTCGAGCCCCGCATCGGACTCTGGGCTGACAGCTCAGAGCCTGGAGCCCGCTTCACATTCTGTGTCTCCCTCTGTCTGCCCCTCCGCTGCTTACACTGTCTCTCGCATTGTCTCAAAAACATATAAACATTTAAAAAAAAGTTTTAAAGAAGTTATATCTGGATAGAGTATTTTAAATGAATGTTTGAAATGAATAGCGTTTCTGTATTCATTGTATCTTTTGGGCTTCAGATTGAAGGCAAAGAATATTCTTTTTTTATGTAAAATAGTTTTTTTAATGTTTATTTTTGAGAAAAAGAGACAGTGAGTGGGAGGGGCAGAGAGAGAGGGAGACACAGAATCAGAAACGTAAACATTTCTGCATATCTAAGAAGCAAGGCGATTGTGAGGATTAAGTGACTTGTCATATTATAGTGCTTATAGTAGGGACTCAATACGTGCATTTATTATATGCCAGGCACTTTACCAGTTCTGGGAATGCAAAAATAAGTAAAATGAAGTTTCTGTCCTCAAGTTGTTCACAGACTGGTGGAGGGAGAAAATAAATAAATCAACAGTTACAATACAGTGTGAGAAAGAAAGAAAGAAAGAAAGAAAGAGAAAGAAAGAAAAGAAAGAAAGAAGAAAGAAAGAAAGACAGAAAAAGAAAGAAAGAAAGAAAGAAAGAAAGAGGGGGCGGGGCGCCTGGGTGGTTCCGTTGGTTAAGCTAAGGTTAAGCTAAGCGTCCAGCTTTGGCTCAGTTGATCATGATCTCGCGGTCTGTGAATTCAAGCCCCGTGTCGCATTGTGTGCTGACAGCTCAGAGCCTGGAGCCTGCTTCTGATTCTGTCTCCCTCTCTCTATGCCCCTCCCCCACTCATGCTCGCGCGCGCTCTCTCTCTCTCTCTCTCTCTGTCTCAGAAATAAACATTAAAAATTTTTTAAGAAAGAGAAAGAAGGGAGGAAGGAAGGAAGGAAGGAAGGAGAGGGAGAGGTAGAAAATACAAAAAGCTATGGGATTACGTAGGAGAGGCACCTTCCCAGACTGAAGTGAAGGAGTGGTCAGAATGGCTTTTCCAGGTTGATGCCTGAGCTGGAAGAACAATGAGAAAATGAAAGAGGAAGCAAGTTTGGGCAAAGTGAGCTACAAATGAAAGACAAAGAGGTAGAAGAAATCATGGGTATTTCATCCAAGTAGTTCAATGCAACTCATGGATTGTGTGTGTGTGTGTGTGTGTTTAAAAGTGAGTTGAGGGGCGCCTGGATGGCTCAGTTGGTTGAGTGTCTGACTTCAGCTCAGGTCATGGTCTCACGGTTCATGGGTTCAAGCCCCCCATCAGGCTCTGTGCTTCACAGCTCAGAGCCTGGAGCCTGCTTTGGATTCTATGTCTCCCTCTCTCTCTGCCCCTCCCCTGCTTGTGCTCTGTGTCTCTCTGTCTCTCAAAAATAAATAAATGTAAAAAAAAAAAGTAGTAATTAAAAAAGAAATTAAAAAAGAAAAAGAAAAGTGAGTTGAGAAAGTAGAGAGAAGTTAGATCCTGACTCGCTTTTTCAGAAGAGCAAGACGCCTGGCCGGCCCGGTCAGAGCATGTGCAGCTCTTGATCTCGGAGTTGTGGGTTTGAGCCCCACGTTGAGTGTAGAGATCACTTAAATAAATAAATACACTTAAAAAAAAAAAAAGAAGAAGAAGAAAGAAAGATCATTCCAGCATCAGACTGAAGAATGGAGAAGAGAAGGGTGAAGCTGAAGTTCTCAAAGTCATTTAGGAAACTCCTGTGGTAATCTGGGCATGCGCTGGGGAACTGGCAGGGGGAGTTAGGAGGAAGGGGCGTACGTAGAAGTTACTCCGCAGGGGAGATCGCATCAGAACTTAGTGATGTCAGAGACAAATGCACCAGACAACTGAGGTGATGTTATTCAGGCTATTGCAATAGAGGACATGTTTATTAACGAAGAATGTCTCATAGAAAAGGAAAGGGAACTGAGGTTTTACGGAGGTAGGAAAACACAGGGTCCCAATCTTACTGGAGTCATGAGCCAGTGTAGAGACGGGTCTTTTCATGGAATATACGAGAACAGGATGGAACACAAAAGGTGACGGGGGTTTGGAAAACAAAACAAAATGGGGGTATTTCTTTTTTTTTTTTTTTTTTT